AAAAAAAAAAAGCTGTGAACCTTATTCTTTTGGTCTGAAAACACTGATCGAGTAAATAAAAAAATATAACCTGATAATTAGTATACATAGATCTTTTATCATAGCACCAACACTCTTGAAATTTTCAACCACTTTTTCTGTCTGTGGGATATCTTAAGATCATAAAAAAAATCAGTTATACAATTAGTAATATAAATGACTCTTGCTCAAGTTATTCTTATTCATCCATACAATTGAAGATTTATTGTGATATAATGGTTCTATTTGACTAATGTGACTGTATGTGTGTATGTGTGTGTGATTGCCTGTGTGTGAGTGTGTAGGGGGTAGGGGAGGGTGCTGTGTATATGTTGTTCTATATTCATAAAGCTACTTAACTGAAATATGTACTAGAATGACTCAAACATATCTGTATTAGCTTTCTATTGCTTCCATAACAAATCATCACACATTTAGCAGATTATACAAGTTCATTATTTTAAAGCTAAGGATTTTAACATGGTCTCACCAGGCTTAAATCAAAGTGTAGGCAGGGCTATGTTCCTTTTTGGACGTACTAGGGGGAAACAATTTCCTTGCTCATCCAAGTCATTGACAAAATTCAGTTGTTTTAGGTTGTAGGATTGACACTCCCACTTCCTTGTTGATTGTCATGTGAGGACCAATCCCAGTTTCTAGAGGCACCCATATTCTTTGGCTCCCAGCACACTTCCTCCATAATTAAATCGAGCAATGGAGGCCAAATCCCTTTCACATGTTTTGACTCCCTCCTCCTCCTTCTCTCATTTCTCTGATCCACTCTTCAGCCATTCTCTTTCCCTTTTAAGTGATTACATTGGGCTCACCTAGGCAATCTCGGATACTCTTCCCCATCTCAAGGTTCTTAACTTTAATCACACTTTTTGCAAATCTATAGCAATCTGTATTTTACAAGGGGATCATGTGGTGAGACAAAGTATCCAAACAGATATTCAACAGGGAGACTAAAAGTAAATGTTAAATGGATCATCCTCACTGATAAGGTGTCATAATGTTTTAAATCAGTTTAAATTAGTATAAAATACAAGTAATATGTCAAGGTATGCATGCACAAACACACACACACACACACACACACA